ACTTCAAGGTCAGAAGGGGTGTGTGGGAAGCAGGGGGAAGCCCTAAAGGGGTGCTTGGAAGAAGGTGTAGGTGTTGTGTGCCGCAGCCATTGGAAGCTCTCATCCAGTGGGGTCCATGGTGACCAGAGCTGGTATCCTGCCATTGATAGTCTAAAGGAAAGGAATCAGAACATGGAATTTCCCTAGCATGGTTTTGGTGAGGGCATGGCCATTCAAATTCACATCTTTTTCACATTGACTTTAACTTACTCTAGTCCCCATAAACAGTCCAATAGATGTTAGGGTACTAGTATCTTTAAAGAGTAGTAAGGGATGGTAACAAGTCTTGAATCTGTCAAGTGCCATGTGTACTAACACTTTATTAAACCTTATCACAAGTCTTTGAAGGTAGATTTTAACCCATTTTACAGATGAGGAATACAGAGGTGGGCAATAATAATAAATATACAATAGTTAATAAATAATACAAGAATAAACTTGTGTATTCACAGCTGTAAACTAACTTTTGCCCACCCCTGTAGATTTGCCCTAAATGGAGTATCCCAGTTCACCATTAGGATCTGTGCTGTGTTGATAACTGCTAAAGACACCTCTGAGGTTGCAGAGGCTGCTGGCGCTTCAAGATGAGACACTAATTGTGATTAGAAGCTCAGAAAGGCCCCATCTTACCCAATATGTGGGACTCTGAATCCCTTGTACTTAGACCTGTGGGTCTCAAAATATCCCGGGACTAGCACCTTTCAAACTCAGAAACTATGGGGGTAAGGCCCTGAAACCTGTGCTTAAGTAAACCCTCGGGATTCTGATGTACTTATAGTTTGAGAACATATACTGCTCCTCTTAAGGAACTTCGGCTTTCACTATTTTTAATTAGCAAGACAGTCTCTTGGCCCTAAAAACCTGTTTTCTGACACAAGGGAGCTGTTCTTTCAGAACCCTGAGCTACTTATGCCATCTCAGAGGAAGTATACCAGGCTGGTAGGAAAATAGTTTCTAAAGGCCAGTCTTTAAATATTTCTAAAGATTTTTCTGGTTCTTCTAGATGTGTTTTTTGTTTTCTTACCTACGGGAGACCCACTCGCTAAGAACTTTATTTTTCTGTTCCCTTTGAAGATAAAGGTCTGGGAGGATGTTGCTAACTCAAAAATGTACTCAAGTAGAACTTGGATTTTCCTTCAATCTACCTTAAAATTGTCAGTATATAAAGGGTTTTCCTGAATTCGGGAGACGCTAACATTTATTGAGCATGCACTATTATGTTAAGGGACATAACAGATCCCTTTTCTTTTTAGCCAAGTGTATTTCTCTGTCCCTTCTCTTTTCTCCAAAAGGAAACAGCAGCAAATTTGATTCCATCCAGTAATGGTGTGACAAATTAACACCTCCACCATCCTTTATGAGACAGTAAAGTTCATTTTTTAAAAGGAATTGGTAACATTTCAAGCCAGAAGACCTGCTCTAACAGTGGTTAGTATAGAGATTTGTTGATTTCCTACAACTGGTGTCTCCTGACCTATGTTGGCCTTTTTGCATACTGTGTTTAAATATCTGGGCTGCTTTAGGATGAGAAACTGACACCCCAGGGGTACTTATCTATTCCAAACAGCCTACCAAAGGCCTCTGATGCTTGAGATCATGACCCTGGGAGCATACAACCAGGATCAGTGCCACTCTGGTACACAACCATGGCAAGGTGGTGACCAAAATAAGTATCCTTTTCCTGACTCACCTTTAGCAAAAGGGGCTAGAGGTGTTTAAAAAAAAAAAAAAAAAAAAAGAGCCAAAACCGGTTTGGCTCAGTGGATAGAGCGTCGGCCTGCGGACTGAAAGGTCCCAGGTTCGATTCCGGTCAAGGGCATGTACCTGGGTTGTGGGCATATCCACAGTAGGAGATGTGCAGGAGGCAGCTGATCGATGTTTCTAACTATCTCTCTCCCTCTCCGTAAAAAATCAATAAAATATATTTTTAAAAAAATTTAAAAAAAGAAAAGGCTTTGTCAAATGTCCAGCCTAAGTATTCAGTGGAACCGGCATGGGATGAGAAGGACTTCTCACCCCAGGTCTTTCCACCACTTTCAGGCAAGTTAACATAAAGATGGTTCACACCCCCTTCACCTCATCCCCCGCTCCTACCACCCAGAACTCACTGTCATCCTCTCCAAGGGGGATTGAACCTAGGAAGTCTATTCAAACTGCTCTAATAACTCCCCAATGGGAAACACCGTGTTCTGGCCCAAAAGGGTTCCCCTTCATACTAGTCCTCCAGTTCCAAGGAACCGGGTCCCCCAATGTCCCCACCTGGGAAAGAGAAGGCAACGTCAAAGTGCCGCTGAGGTCCTTGTAAACTGCAATCCGAGGGGCTGAAGCTGCCTGTTGTGGGGGGAGCTTCCCGTCCCAGCCGGAAAACAGACTTGTTCCCTGGGAGTCCCCTACCCCGGGCCGGGCCGGGGCCAGAGGGCTCTGGCTGAAGAGGTGGAGGTGGCGGTGGGAGCCCAGGCCCGGTCCCACCATCCGGGCTGGGAGCTCACCTGCTGAACTCCACGGCCATACGCTCCAGAGTGGAAGCTACTGGTCCCCGCCGCATCTTTTCTCCACCAGGCGCCTGGCAACCGCCTTTGTGACCCAGGACCAGGGAGGGGGGCGGGGGCGGCTAGAGACCCGAGCGCCGCAAGGGGGTGGGGTATTAGGGGGGCGGGGCCGTCTGGGCTGGACTCCCCACCGCCAACTCCTTGGAATACCAGGTCCAGAAGTGCAGGTTCGAATCCCGCTCCCTCCAGCACCTCCCTGCTGCGCTACATCGATGTGCCTTTGATCTAGTTGCAGAGCAGGGGCCTACCCACTTCAAGGGGTGTGGTCAGGAACGTGCTTCAAAATCCCGGGACCGATCGTTAGTTTAAAAGTCTTTATTAAACCTGCTCAGTAGGTGTTCAGGCAGAGTTACCCAGACTTCTGAAGGCTTTAGTTGCTGCATTGGAATGATCCCCGTGCAAGGAGACAGAATGTACTAGTATAAATGCTCGCCTATCTAGAACAAGAAAAAAGATGCATGTCTTCTTCCCTTGACTTCTTGACTGAAAACCTTTCTCTGCTTTCTATTAAACCTCAGAAAGACGATGCTGTCCCATTCTCAACAAGCTGAAAAACAGAACCTTTCACTATAATAAGAGTGATCCGACAACTTTGACAGCATCACTCAATTACCCAGACCGCTGAGGGAAGACAGATCTACCCAGTTGACTCCTATATCCCTGGTGCCTGGCTACCACAGTGTCTGGCAGTATGCAGGAGGTACTTGGGGAGGAATTAACTAACGGCCCACCTGCCCTTCCCTTAAACACCCAGACGTTGGCCTTGCACTTTGGGAACTATATAACACAGTGATGGTGAACCTTTTGAGCTCAGCGTGTCAGCATTTTGAAAAACCCTAACTTAACTCTGGTGCCGTGTCACATATAGAATTTTTTAAAAATATTTTTTATTGATTTTTTACAGAGAGGAAGGGAGAGTGATAGAGAGTTAGAACATCGATGAGAGAGAAACATCGATCAGCTGCCTCCTGCACATTTCCTACTGGGGATGTGCCCACAACCAAGGTACATGCCCTTGACTGGAATTGAACCTGGGACCCTTGAGTCCGCAGGCCAACGCTCTATCCACTGAGCCAAACCAGTTAGGGCTAGAAATTTTTTGGTATTTGCAACCATAGTAAAACAAAGATGTATATTTTTGATATTTATTTTATATATTTAAATGCCATTTAACAAAGAAAAATCAACAAAAAAAATGAGTTCGTGTGTCATTTCTGACACACATGTCATAGGTTCGCCATCACTGATATAACACAAATTAGAGCTGTCACCTTTCATCTTGCTCTTTGGGTGAAGCTGAAGTGGGGAGGCTGGGGACCAGGGGAAGGGTCAGGCTGCGATTCTCGTTTGGAAGGCCAGATAGTCTGAGAAGCTTGTTAAGAACTGTCAGATGCTGTGTGTGTGTGTGTGTGTGTGTGTGTGTGTGTGTGTGTGTGTGTGTGTGTGTGTTCCTGTCGAAGGAGAGCTAAGTGGAGATTGGAGGGGTCGTCAAAATGCAGAGAAGGGCAGAGAATGACGACTCTTGGAAGAGACTAAAATGATTTTGAATTACAAAACTTTTTTTCAGTAAGTTTTTAATTTTCCTCTTGTTTTAAAAGCAAATAAGATGGGTTTTTTATTGCACAGTTGTTTTTAAATATATTTTTTATTGATTTCAGAGAAGGGAGAAGGACAGAGAAATAGAAACATCAATGATAAGAGAGAATCATTGACTGGCCGCCTCCTGCACGCCCCACACTGAGGACTGAGCCCGAAATCCGGGCATGTGCCCTGACTGGGAATCAAACCGAGACCTCCTGGTCCATAGGTTGATGCTCAACCACTGAGCAACACTGGCCGGGCAGGATATTGTTTTCCATTTGTTTTTCAGAGAGTGGAAGAGAGGAAGGGAGGGAGGGAGGGAGAGAAACATTGATGTGAGAAAAACACATTGACTGGTTGCCTCCCGCATACCACCCTGAACTCACCTGCGCTCGATCTTGTCATTAATTTACAAATTTCCCCCCGCTGGGTATTATTGTGATATATATATAAACATTTTGTTCATTTGATAAATGTAAGGTGGAACATCATATTCTGTTGTTGAAAAGCATTTTAAAAGTAACTTGGGCTTAATGTGATTTAATCGATTATGCCCAACTTATTGCTGACACAGACCATAACCTAAGTCTGGAGCAGCTGACGGAGTGGGAGGGTGACGCGGGCCCACGCTCCCGCCAACCGCCAGCGACCCGGTATTGCGGTGGGTGGGGGGCTCCTGGCGCATGCCCACTCCATTTTCCGGGTCGGAGTTGAGCAGAGCCAACGCCGGCGAGGACGTCACGTCGCGCAGGCGCACCGCGATGCCAGCTGATACGTGGGTGCCGAGGGAGGGTGTGGGCTGTCGGCGCAGGCGCACGGACGTGCTGGAGGATCGGGGCGCCTGCGCAGTCGCACTTCCTTAGGCGGCGGCCATGGCGGGACAAGAGGATCCTGTGCAGCGGGAAATTCACCAGGACTGGGCGAACCGGGAGTACATTGAAATCATCACCAGCAGCATCAAGAAAATCGCGGACTTTCTCAATTCGTTCGGTCAGTGGGCGGGCGGCGGGATGGAGGGAGGTCTCGGAGGTTTGGCCGGGCGCTGAGAAGCTTTGACGGGCTCTCTCCGGGAGACCTCGACTCTTGCTTTTCTCTTCCTCCTCCTCCAGGCCCCACCTTCCTCCTCCTTCCCTGACCCCAGGCTCCACTGGGCAGTCCCTGTAGGGTTACCCTGCTCCACGCTAAGCTCATGGGCCTTATTGCCATTACTCCGGATCCGTTGGCAAGTTCTTCCTTTTCCCAGACAGTCCTGCCTCTGATCTCAGGCATGTCAGGCAGCCCCATCCACCCTGGGCGTCCTCTCGTCAGTAGTCTTTTTGCTTCCTTGGCGCCCCGCTTCCCTTCCAGTTCCCACTTGTATTCAGAGTGCACCCTAGAACCTAGCCGTGGCCGTGTCGCTGCGCTGTGGATAGACCCGTGCCGGTTCCCCATCTCCTTCAGTTTCGAGTGGAAACCTTGAGCGCCGTGCCTTTTACTGCCTGCCCCAGTTCAGCCTTCTCCGGTCCGTTCCTTCCTGTCTCCCCTGTTGGCTGTGCCGAGAGTGGTAGGGGGTAAGGTCAGAGGTCAGGTCCAGGTCGTGTGGAGTCATGGAAATCTTCTCTGTGTTGTTAGTATCTACCGGCAGTAGGTGTTCTTTCTGCTTCTGGCAAAATCTTTCCTAGGCATGGCCTGCTCATGACAGTCTTTATTCCGTATTCTTCTGGACAGCAATCCTGTAACAGAACCCCATCCCATGTCCTTCAGATGTTTAAGAACTGGGTAGACTTAGTGATCGATCACAAGGTGTCGGGGCCACATCTAGTGATCTTTTCAAACTCATGTGCTCTGTTCCATGAATTCAGCAAAAGTAAGCAATTAAAATTAAGTAGGGGAAATGATCTATTAAAAAAGATGTTAAAATGTATTATTTCCTAGCTAGAGGACTGGTGAGTTCTAAGGACAGAGCATGGAATTTGTCAGAAAGCATCAGCAAGAGAAACTAGTTCTCAGTGCAAGACTCTCTCAGGACTATGGAGGACACAGAACAAGAACCATTTCCTGAGTCAAATAATTAAAAAAAAATTTTTTTTTTATTGATTTCAGAGAGGAAGGGAGGGAGAGAGAGAGAGCTAGAAACATCAATGATGAGAGAGAATCATTGATCGGCTGCCTCCTGCATGCCCCACACTGGGGATCGAGCCCGCAACGAATCAAACTGTGACCTCCTGGTTCATAGGTTGACACTTAACCACTGAGCCTTGCTGGCCAAGCCTGAGTCAAATAATTATTAATATATTTACATATAAGGTATATAGGACTATAAGCTTGATGTATCTTGATATGGTGGACTTCCTCACTTTCCAGGGATTGGGGATGAAGGTAATATTATTGAGAGAATAGTGTGAATTTATATGTCAATAATACATATTCATACAAAAAACTTGCTATAGAGTTTGTAATAGGGAATGATATCAAGAAAGTATAGATCTCAAATACCTTGAAATTTTTTGAGGACTGAGGGAAGGAACATGGTTTAGTGAAAGATAAGTGGGTTTGGAGACAGGAGACGGAAATTCAAAAAAACTAGACTGATTTTAATGAACTGAAAACATTTGAGAAATACTGACATCTACCCTGATACTCAGATATTCTGAGTTTTTCCTCAGAGATGTTTTTTAAAAAAATTCCATGCAAAATCTTTCAGTGTTAGTTCTCATAACTGGTTTCTTCTGCTTTTCCATTAATTAAGGGAGTTCTTCACAGCATTCTTTACTCATAACATTCCCTCAAAAGAAGGACCAGGTAAGAGAAACCAAAAGATTGCATGCTAAGGGAAAGATGGAATGATGACAAGATCATAGCTTTAGTTTCGTCTGGAAAGTCAGTGGAAAATAGTTGGAAACATCACTGACACAGAGTGTTTTAACTTTAAAAAGTAGAATTAAAAAAGACTTCATTCATCTGGTACATAATATCGGATATGTACACATAGAATATCCAAGCAATGCTCTAACCACTGAGAACACCGGCCAGGGCTATATTAACAAACTTTTAATTCACATTTATCTTTGACATAAATCTTCTTGACATATCATAGCCACTAAATTTATATAGTGGGTGAGTCTTGCAACTGACTGAAAATTGAAAAATCTGAGCTTAGTATTTGCCAAGGAGAAATGTATTTTTTTCTTATTTTATTAGTAAAGAAATACCTGCTCTGAGATTTTATCAAATGTGTGTGAGTCACATTTTGTGATTAGATAGAGAATAAAAACTTTTCTTTTTATTCAAGATTTCCAACAAGTCTAAGGCTGAGGAAATAGACACAGAATTCTAATCTTTAGGTGCCGGAAGAAATGGCTTCCCTTAGCTGGCTGTTATTCTCCCTTAAAGTGATGGCAATGACCTGATGTTAGGAGTAATTACTAGGTGGTTTTTGAAAATTTTGTTCATTTATTTACTTGTTTATTTTTAATATATTTTTTTATTTTAGAGAGAGGGATAGAAATGTTAATGATGAGAGAGAAAGAATCATTGATTGGCTACCTCCTGCATGTCCCACACTAGGGATTGAGCCCACAACCCAGGCATGTGCCCTGACCAGGAATTGAACCATGACCTTCTGGTTTACAGGTCGATGCTCTACCACTGAACCATGCCAGGTTTTGAAAAATAAGTAAGAACAGAATTATGAAGCAAGAGTAAAAGTTAAAGCAATCTGACTTAGCAGGTAAAAAGCTGGTGAAAACTTTTAGTTTAGGCGAAGACCAACAGGCTGAGAAACTGGATAAATCATAAGAATACGCTTGAGTATACTGTCCTGGCATTGGATGACTCAAAATGAGTGTATATGTGATGTATTTTTCTATTCTAAGCCCTTAGCATAACTCCTTAGTTCTGATGTGTATCTGTGGGGCTTGCATTGAGTTTATGATACTATGGTTTGGTGGTGCAAAGATTTAATAGAAGTTTACTTTGAGGACACATCTGGGCTCTTTGGAAATGGCAGCAGTCCCACAATCCTCACCCTGTGCTTTGGAAAGGGAAGTTTTTGCAAGATAGCCAATGGAACAGCTGTCAGAACAGCTTTTACTCTGTGATTCCAGCTGGTGAGAGTACAGTTACAATCTCTTTGTAGTTTTCTCTTCAGGGTTGGAGGACCACCTGAACCCAAGAATGCACAGATTATAAAGCAGTGATAACATCCTAGCACTAGGCCTATTTTGTATTTGGAACTGAAGTTTCTAAAAATAGATTGTCGTAGATGATGGTTTTGTTTTTTTAAATATGTTTTTATTGATTTTCTTTTAGAGAGAGAAGAAGGGAGAGGAAGAGAGAGATAGAAACATAGATTGGCTGCCCCCTGCACACCCCCTTCTGGGGATGGAGCCAGAAACCTGGCCATGTGCCCTGACAGGGAATTGGGGATTGAACCAGCCACCTCTTGGTGCATGGGTTGACGCTTCACCACAGAGCCACACTGGCCTGACAGATGACAGTTTTTTATTTTTATATATTTTTTTCTGGGTTCTAAAGCTAGAGAAGTATAACAAAAAATAGAGAATGTGACTATTTTTAAATCTCAGTTTTTATACTTCACCGACAGATATAGCAATATACCATGCCTGTTGTGATCCAGCTGTGGGTCAGGTGTCATGGAAAGGAGAAAGTAAAAATAAATGGACAAATTAAAAAAAAATTAGAATTTTGTTGGAGAAATAAGACTTACCTGCAAAAATAATTCAAGAGGCCGAAACCGGTTTGGCTCAGTGGATAGAGTGTCGGCCTGCGGACTGAAAGGTCCCAGGTTCGATTCTGGTCAAGGGCATGTACCTGGGTTGCGAGCACATCACCAGTGGGAGATGTGCAGGAGGCAGCTGATCGATGTTTCTCTCTCATCGATGTTTCTAACTCTCTATCTCTCTCCCTTCCTCTCTGTAAAAAATCAATAAAATATATTTTAAAAAAATAATTCAAGAGAAAGATTTGATTTTTGTAGGCTAAGGCTATGTGCATGAGTTCAGAGAAGGAGCTGTTTGCTAACTGGCATTTGTCAGCAATGATAATGGATATAATTGTCCCTCCTTATTGACTGTTTCACTTTCTATAGTTTCAGTTACGGTCAACTGTGGCTTGAAAATATTAAATGGAATATTCCAGAAACAGACAATTTTATAAATTTTAAATTGTGGGTCATTCTGAGCAATGTGATGAAATCTATTACTGTCCCACTCTGTTCTGTCCAGGACATGAATCACCTCCCTTTGTCCTGCATAGCTGCGCTATAGATACTGTCTGTTAGTCACTTAGTACCCAGCTAGGTTGCTGCCATGGTTTCATAGTGCTTGTATTCAAGTAGCCCTTATTTTACTTAATAATGACCCCAAAGCACAAGAGTAGTGATGCTAATAATTCTGGTATGCCAAAGAGAAGCCATAAAAGTGCTTGTTATATATGGTCAGTAGCCTAACACTGTATCACAGTGCCTATGTCATTCTCACCTCACATCATCTCATCACATGGGCATTGTGTCTTCATCATCACAAAAGGGATGAATATCTATATCTATATATCTATATCTATGTCTATATCTATATCTATCTATATATCTATATAGATATATAGATAGATATAGATATAGACATAGATATAGATATATAGATATAGATATATAAAAGCCTAAGCGACTGGCCAACCACCCATTGGCTGGTAGCTATGACGCACAATGACAACCAGGGGGCAGACGCTCAATGCAGGAGCTGCCAAGCGACAGCAACTTTGCAGAGTACCCTCTCACACTTTGCAACCCCTCAGGGGATGTTGGACTGCTGGTTTTAGCCTGATCCCCGCAGGCCAGGCCGAGGGACCCCCATCTGCTGGAGGGATCCCGCTCAGTCCACAGATGCCCTTTGAGCCCCAGCGCTGCCCCAGGTGCAGCCGGCCAGGGAGGGACTATGGAAGGTTGGCTCCAGGGCGTGTCCAGCCCATCTCACCCAGTCCTGCCCTGCTGG